AACACTCTCCCTATGAGCCACAACACTCTAAGCAAATCCTCGATCAGCATGGCAGAGTCCTGTGTAGCTGTATTGTTGGACTTCCATAAAAAGCCTTGCATCTATCCAGCCCGAGGCTCCCTTCTTGCACATCTACCGGCGGTTGTGGCCGCAGGACGTTCAGCGAGCGCGATCGTGGCTTGCCATAACCTGCCAAGCCCCACATTCAAGAACGCGAAGCTGCTGACGCTGTCCAGATGACAACCCTAAACCCTAAACCCCTAGACCCTAAACCCTAAACCCTAAAACCTGACAGACCACTGCGGCGCCAGTCTGCAGGACAACGAGCCTCGTGTCCGAGAGGGCATGCAGAAGCGGGCAGCTCAGGTTTTCGGGCTGAAGGTCCGGGTTATGAGAGGACTGTCCGGATTCTGGACCCTGTGTCATGATTGCGTTTTCTTGTTATGAACCGTCTGTTTATGCTGCAACGGTTGCTATACGTTTTCGTTTTTCGCACGAAGTCATGCCACCATGCAAAGTCCCAAGCGATCCAGCGACTCCAGGGCCCACAGATCATGAGCCAGGAACCCTACCGCACAGTCATGAACCCAAGCTTCTGCAGCCGAATGGAAGCGATCATGACGACGAGCACTCCGCTGTGATCCGTCTGTCGTCGTATCGCGGCAGCCCAGAGTTGTCAGGTGCGTGCAAGTCCTCGTCGAGAACCTGCAGCGCGACTTTGCCAAGCACCTGAGGAGCGCCGGGCACCCGGAGTGGAGCCCTGCTTACCAAGATGCTTGTGGGGGCACGAGGTTCCAGAGCTGCAAGGGGGCTGTAAGTTCAGGGGAGCGTTGGTTTTTGTTCAATCTTAGGAATCTTTCTGATCATAAGTAGATCAAGCATAAGAGGAGCCCATTTGAGAACAGCCCCTACGGCCGTACGTCTGATAAAGGGACGAGAAGAAACCCGAGTGCCCGAGGGAGTGAGATTTCACAACTTTGACGCCCCAAAGAACGTGGGAAATTCGCTCTTGCCTCTTGCACATGACACATATATGGACCATATGGATGTGCACAAGACTTTCAGTCAGCTCAGATACTAGGTACTAGTTCCCAGGTGAGCTCCAACCCTGAGCTCTGGAAACTGATGCATCTGAGGCCTTCCCCACGTGGCTTTGCGTCACTTGGCCGGAAGCTGTGTGGCTTAGTCTTCGGGGCAGATGCTGTCTGTCGGAAGGCTCGGGTCGTGGATTTCAGGTTTGGGGTCGAGGGCCTCGGAGTTTAGGGGAGCAGCCCGCGGCTCAAGGCTTGTATGTCTCTAGGGTGAGGAGTCAAGTCAGACGCTTTCAGGTAAAGGGCAGGTTCTGCCTGGAGTGCACTCCGCTGCAAAACCTACGTGATGCTGTTGCTGCGGCAGCTGCTGCTGCTCCTACGGCTCCTACTATCAGAGTTCCTTTAACAAACTGAAGGGATCTCTTCAAATCGTTCGCCTGGGCTGCTGAAGCCTCTTTCAGACTCTCCCGGAGCCTCGGTGATGCCGAAACGAACATAAGCTGTGTGCCCACAGCTAAGGCGATGTTTGTGGGGGCCCCGGGTCCGCTTTTGATCCGACGAGTGGCCGTATGTCCATGCTCTGGAGTCTAGATGCTTTCTCTGGGAGGTTCAGTGTGACGGGACCTTGTCATGGGACTTAGGGTGAGGAGGGCTAGGCATCAGGATTTGGACTTAAAGAGAGGCGATCTTCCAAACTGTGCGCTTCGTCGGCTTACGAGATCCTTAGCCCAAGCCGTGGAAAGCTTTGCCGGTGGGTTCGAAGGGTTTAGGTGTTCAGATCAAGGCGTTCGGGAACCTTGAACTCTTGGTCGCTTGGCAATCCCCGACCTGCAACAGGTTGCCAAATCTGGCAGAACCGCCTGCAATAATCAGTCAGCAACGAACCAAAAGCTCCACTTGAACACCCGCCGTAGCGACATAGAGACCACACCACAGCTCCGAGCACTGGAAGCCCTGTGAGGATTCTCATGCGGAGGTGGCATTCCCGGTTTGCTCGAGCTGTTGCGACTTTCTTGTTGCGGGCTTCATCGTGATTCAGTATATGAGGGGCATTGTCGGTGTGGCAATCCGAGGGGTTGTGAGGAAGCGGCGCTTTGCCTTCCGGTTGGATTGCCGGAGGTTGTATTTTAGATGACTGCTACTTGAGTGAAACACGCACGGAATATGTTGCGGTACCCCGCGACAGATGGACGAAACAGCTTCAGGAATCAAGTACGGGCGGCCTCGCGCCTTTCCTTCACCTGGAATCTTGATGCGTAGTATGTGGAAAGAGGTTCTGTGGCTAGTGGACAACAGGATCTGGCAGACGCAGTGAAAGGAGTATGCGTTGATTGCATGTCGCTGCGAGATCTCGTCCTCTCCGTTTCGTGTTGGGGGGACTTGGGCCACAGGTGACCCAGGCCAGTCGTGGTGCCTTCACCGCGGCTTTCCCCACTGACGAGAAGCGTCGTGGTGTCGGGCCCTTACTCTCCTGGGCCTCTTCATATTCCCCATGAGCCTTAAGTCTCCTAAATTAGCTAGTCGTTATTGCTGTTGTTACACCCGTGCCTCGCCAGTGGTGCTGCATGTGGCAAGTGCTGTCTGCTACTAAATTCGAACGCATTCTGTGTTCATACCAAGTCCGAGCTCCCAGCGGCGTAGAAGATCACAAACTCCGAAATGCCTACAGCCTCGAAATCCATGAAACCGATTCAGTGGCCAGTAGTGACACTGGCGAAGCCGCTTCCATGCAAAGGGTGTAGGCTTAGGGGTTGGACTTTGGCTACAGGTTGTGGCTTGCCATCTGCAGCATATAGAAATCTTGCAGGTCAAGACAGGTAAGAAACCCCACCCCAATCACCCCAGATCTGCGGGTTCGCAACCAATCGAACCGGGCCTCCAGCAACTCCCAGGTCTTCCGCCACTGCCAGAAAGACTGCCTGGAGCTGTTGACCTCCAACCTCAGGCACAGCGAGCAGCAAGACGCTGAGATTCCGCTTTTCTCAAGCGGACTTCGTGCTTTTGTGGCTTCGGGCTTTGGGGACATAGGACCTTCCCATCCCGATGCCACTCTGCTCATTCGTTACACCCCCAGTGCCCAGCGTCACTAGGTTGCCCTATTACCATGAAGCGTCTGTTTTAACTGCTTGCCCAGGACCTTTGTCCCACCTCGCTGTATGCCCAGATGCAACCTAGTGATTGACTGTCACACACCAGCTCATTAGACTCGGCCCCGGCTTCAGCGAAGGCACCTTCCACAGCCAAGGTTCCAATGCAAGTGGGGCGACACCATTCCTAACTTAACAGAATCTGACACTCTCAGGAGATTCCGGAAACTGCCCAAGGCAAGGCCCCAAACCTTCAACCCATGAAGCCTTTTGCGCATCGCAGCACCCGCCCAGGTCTCTCCACGATGAGCTAGGTCTTCCACCTGGGGGCGACCGTGACACGGCCCTCCAAAGCCAGGGCCAGAGAGTTTCGCTTGGGTTCGGAGTTGAGGCATGCCTTCTTGTCGTCGTCTTAGGCTGTACGTTGTTGCGTTCGGCTCAGGAGTTGGGCATGCGTGATTGGAAAATGTTGAGGCTTTGTTTTGTGTTCGTGCGGAGGAGGGACCAGAGTTGCACCAGCTTTCTTGTGCTTGGGTGCATGCAGTTCGACTCAAGTTCAAAAGGAGATCCTCTGACTTGTTTCATTCGTGCGCAAGCAGTTCTACTGTCGTCTTCTACTTGACAATGGCCGAAGACCCCCAGCCTTATCCAATCGTTCCCAATCTCACGAGGACAGGACCGTTATGCCCGGGTCCTGGCGGCGTCTCTGAGTGCACTGGGCGAGCTGGTGCACCCCACAGTTGGGCCGCGCAGTTATGGGCCAATTCGGCAGTTGAGGGTCAAACCCTAAACCCTAAACCCTAAACCGAATTTTGGTGCAGGACGCTCGTTCGGCTTGGGCTCAATCTGGGCTTCACAGGGTTTTGAACCCTAGAACCTGAATCCGAATCCGAAACCCCTGCAGCCTAGACCCTGAACGTGACACCCCAAACCCAACTTCGGTGATCTTGCCTTCATGGTTCAACGGGTTTTCTGCTTGCTGACAGAAGCAGAATGCAGGCCTGGCATGTGGCTCAGAGGTTCAGGGTATGGCAAGCGAATTGCAGGTTTGCCCTACAGAAAATCGGGATAGCCCTAGCCGCCGCCAGGTGCATGTTTGCATGGCGCCCTCCGAGCAAGGCGCAAGCACCAGAACGAGTGCTCTGTTGTCTAGTGTCCAAGGCCTCAGCAGCCGTAGCTGCAGCCACAGACGCAGCCTTCGGTAGGAGTAGCGTTAGGAGTAGATGTAGGATCAATAATTTGTCGTTATCGTCCTTCTCTTCGTTGTGGTCGTAGAAGCGGTACTTCTTGGCATGAGGCAACACCCACAAAAAAATCACGATATAGGAAGATGAGAGCACAGAGGTGGTTGCACAGCTGCATAGCCTCACAATCAACACATGCAGTTTAGACTCTGGACTCTAGACTGTCGACGTTCCAGTCCAACTGCCAACATCCGACAATGGGGTGTCAACCTGTGATTTTCAGGTGCAGCTTGTCAAGATTATTGTCGCCATTGTTCTCACTCTTTATTAAATATGTATAGTCTGAGTGTTATTGCTGTGGTTGCTGTTGGATGCGTTACGCAGGATTTAGTTTCCAAGCTCTCTGTCAACCTTCAACCTTATAGACCTCTGCCAGCATAGCTTGGGCCGCAAGCGTATGAACGACTTGGTCGAAGCAGCCACATGGAAGCTGCTTCGTAGCTTTACTGTATGGCTCTGAGTATACGTATAAGGTGTATGAGTTGGATGGTAGATCTAAGCAAGTCTTTGCGTGGCCGGCGGACGAGGAGGGGGAATGTTACGCGCTTCATGTTAAGCCAAAGCTACATCTTGGCTAGTCCTAGCGCTCCTGTCTCACTGGCTGAGCTGTTCGACGCCGGCCGTGGATCTACCCAGCCATGGTGTCGACGCTTGTGGAGATGGGCTTCTCCGAGACTTGTCTGGCTTGGGTTTCGGTATTGGTCTCGACTTTTTGTCAGTTTACGCGGGTGTTTCCGTTCGGGGCCAGGATGACTTCATGATTGCAGGATTAGCAAGGGGAGGAACAGCGGACAGCTCCTGTGCCTTGAACCCGAAGCCCCAATCCGAAACTTTCACCTCCAAATCAGCCCCGAATTCTTGACTTGAAGCCTGATGGGTTGTACACAGCTATGTTCTCACGAAGGATCGTGCTTAGCGAGTTTGGTCCATGAGAATTTCCAGTCTGCAATCACTGCAAAAGAGCACGACAAGGAATATACCCGAAGCCTGACGCCGACAAGCTGAACTCCAAAACACAGCAATGTCCAAGGAGATGCAGGCGAAGCAGGCTCTGCTCTTGACGGAAAGCAATGTGGAAGCTGCTGCCGACGCCCGGTGTTCGAATTTCTGCTCCTCCGGCTGTCTCCAGTCCTTACAAGGCTTCGGTTCCGTCAAGACACTGTGCAGAACACCTCCGATGCCCTTAACAGCCATGCGCCCAAAATGTCCCGGGTCCATTCGGGCTGCGAGTATTGAGGGTGCCTGCGGGAGGCCTGTTGGCTGAACAAGACTGATAAAAGAGGCTTTTGTCTTGGAAGCTTCTTGTGGTGCGGGATGCAGGACTGAACGGTCGAGAGGCTGGCAAACACCGTTGTTTCTAATCTGTTTCGTTATTAAGGCTGTATCTTGCCGTCAACATAATTTCATGTTGCACGGCAAAGGCGCTTCGCACTTCCTCAAAACGAGCGGCATGCAGGAATGCCCCGCACCGCAAACTCCGCATGTGAATCCCTGAGCTAACATAAACCACAACCCGCCTAAGCTTCCAGGTTCCTAGCCCATTGCACGGCACCCCAAAGAACCAATCCGTCGGCAGGAAGAATCGTCAAAAAGCGTACAACCTGGTGCGCTAAACAAGGCCAAAAACCTTCCTGCCAAGCCCCAGTCCCGAGTCATCTCAGGACATGCTGCTGACCAACCCTCCACCAATGGAGGCAACGGCGAGTTGGGTATTGAGATTTGTTCGTTTTTCGCCGGGCTTTGGGATTTTAATCATGATCTTCTTTTTTCGGACGAAGGCTTCTCTGGTGAGTTTCAGGTAAAGTTTGGTATGTTTTTGACGGGTACATGGTTGCTCCGCGGCCTTAGTGGCATTAATGCCGAGGGTTCCCTAACTAAGCAGTCTCAATCTAAGTCTTAGACCCAGGACTAGTAATCTCAATTGGCCCACTCTTCAGTCTGCGGAAAAATGGCACGAGGGCCAGCATCTGATACAATGGGAGCGATCATCACTCACACTCTTATTTCAAAAAGCTTTCATTCTCGTCGGCCTTTCTCATGGTTACTGGCTTTATGACGAGACCACGTCTCTTCTTTACCCCACCAGAACCTGCTTTTTTGCAGGGACCCTATAAATCCTATATTAGGCTCTATGATAAGAACCTGCAAAAAAAGTGGGGTTTTGGTGGGTCCAGGTATGCTGTCAGTTTTCCCTAGACCCTAAACCCTAAACCCTAAACCCCAGACCCTAAACCCTAAACCCTAGACCCTAAACCCTAGACCCTAAACCCTAGACCCTAAACCCTCAACCCTAAACCCTAAACAGGAAGGGGCCTCCGGCTCTTCCGGCTCGGGAGCCTTGGCGCAGCTCCTGGCCGTGGGCTTCGAGGAGGCGAAGGCCAAAGTGGCCCTGGAGATGTCCCGCCCTTAGCTCCAGGGGTTAGGGGTATAGGATTTAGGGGTCAGGGTTTGGGGATTAGGGTTTAAGGTTTAGGATTTAGGGTTTAGGGGTTAAGGTTTACTCCTTCTAGCATCCCCTTTCATGAGGAGTTTTGTTGACTTATGCTACTTCTATGTTCGCAGAAGGACGTAGCAACGATAAGGGTAGAATGTATGACCTGAGAGGAAGACAATAGGTGATTGCGAGGATGAGAGCCTGGCGATTTCGGTGCAGCACGGGGTTTGAGCCCGAAGCGACCAGGTGTGTTGCTTCAGCTTTCGGGTGCAGTAGCTTGGCTGAGAGGGTAGTTGGTGCTGATCATCTATTTTCGCAAGAAATGCACATGCACAAGGTTGCGGCCTCTATTGCGGCGACTTAGGACTCGGAGTATTAATTTCGACGAGCATGCTGCTGGCCAAGGCACCGTGGCAACGTAGAAGCTGCTGCGGAGGCGCTGCTTCAGGAACAGGAAGTGGAGGCGCGGGGGCGCAAGGAGCCAGCACCTGATCGCAAAGAGTTGCAAGGTGGTTGGAGACTTTGGTGGCTTCCCACAACCTGCGCAAAACATGATAGGCTTTCATTCTTTCGGGCTTGCGGGTTAAACATCTTAGTGACGGGGATTGTGTTGCTTGATCCATCCTCCTGGCAGGTCGAGGGCTACCATCCCGCCGCACCAAGGACACCGCCTGAAGTTCTTGAGGCGCGAGCAGATCGTAAGCACACCGCTCAAACCTTCCATGCTAAACTGTGGGAGAGGCTCTATTCTTCAGTGATTTTGTGCAAGCCGACTCTGAGCGCTGACCACCGCATAGGAAGCAGTAAGCCCTTTGCTCCGAACCAGAGCCCGACAACCTCCCGCCAGGTGGAGGACCACCAGCCGCCGGCTTCACCGAGGACACCGCCTGAGATTGTCGAGGCCCCAAGTGCTTGACTCTGATGAATGGAAACCCCAAAGCTTGATGGCGAGCAGATCGTAAGCTGAGCCCTTTCAGCGATTGCACGTGTTCCAGGAGTACTGGTAATGGGCTGTAGACATCGGTCTCTTGCTGCTTGGTGTGGTGCGGACAGGCACAATGAGCCCCTTCTTGTGCCCTAAAGCCCTGAAAGTTCCTCAGCCGCCGAAACTTCTGAACAAGACCCTGAGGCTGGACATGTCCCAGAGACCTCGGCGCGAGCGAGTCGAAGCCCGAGCGCAAGCCCTCCGAAGAAGCGGAGGCGTTGCGGAAGCTTGGAAGAAGACTCCAGCAGGCTCGGGTGAAGTGGGAGCTGCTGGGTTCAAAGACTTCAAGGCGCTTCGGAGTTTCCGAGTGTTTCAGTTCAGGGCAAAGGTTTCGAGGCGTTTTGCTGGGTAGGGCTTCACGTGTTAATCGCTATATGCTCCCCACGTCCGTGCCCAACTGGAGACGTCAGTTGTGCGAACCGAGTGCCAACACCTCCCGAACCGGAAAGCCCTCAATCAGACAGTCAGGAGTCTGGTCGACGAGGTCGGCGAACCGGTGCTCGCGCCGCCGGCGGACAGGGACGCTTCTGCAGCTGCAGCACCAGCCTCAGAAACCGAGTCTTGGCTCCACGATATGATTACCAATGCTATTTTGGGGGTTCCTGATTATAAATATAGTATAATGGGCCCCAAAACCCTGTTCTAATCATTGGGGCCCCTATATTACGGGTCCTGTGGGAAGTTTGCGGGCTTTGGAAAGGTTTCGGGCTTACGGTTTAGGGTTCTGCACCAGAAAGCCACTGAGCTACTAGCACAGTATATTACTCTCATACGCTGTAGTATGATATGACAGACGTATAAAAAAGTACATTACTGTATAAAACTAGCATATTCTTAATAAACTAAATCGCGTATTGTAGTATATTAGTAGTATCAAACTCGTCCTTCCGGGTGAGTTTTCGGAGGCCAGCTCCCTCGGCGTGGACGCTTTCGCTCCACGGCTGGAGTTCGCCTCTGAATCCTTTGGCCCACTGCGGCGGAAACCTGCATCTTGGCACACGGTATAACATAGTATAACAGATTACAACATAGTATGTAGCATACTATAGTAATATACTAAAATGTATACTATAGTATATTATAGCGTAGTATACTATAGCACGCTGGAGATTTGCATCTTAGCTGCGCCCCAGAAAAGGGGCCTTAACAATTGGAATAGGGTTTTGGGGTATGTTATAGTAGAACAAAGAACCTCAAATAGTGTTGGCACTGCGGCGGAGACCTGAACCTTAGCTAAGTTTGCCCGTGCCAAGGGTCATGTGCATCCAGGGTTTAGGGCGAGTCGGAACTACGTCCGGCTTTATGCCGTGTGGTTTTGCCTGTGAAGGTGCTACTCATTGAAACCTATCACAACGGCTCGTTCATCGTTTCTTTACCAGTAGCAGTTGTGGCAGTTATCATCAACGACAACAGACCTTTCATGTTTTTGGTTGGTTGTGATTCTCTGGCAGGGCGGCGATGTGCGACTAGAGTCTAGAGTCTAGAGCGTTGCAGGGTTAGAAGCGACAGCTAGCAGTCTTCTCTGGATTTGTGTGTTCGAGCTCCTAATACGGGCCACTGTTATGCCAGCGGTGTAGATCCGTCCTGCAACAGATGCTCCGATTTGGGTATTCCGCCTAAGCAAGCGCGAATGCCAAAGCAAATGCTCGAACCGCCAGAAAACGAGGTGCGGGTTCGCCAGGACCCTGACCTTCACGCGAGGGTGCCCGAGTCCTTTGGTTGCAATGGTCGGGTGGACAGCTTGGGGTTTTCCGACTTTTTAGTGTGTGGGGGTGTGGAGTACCGTGGAGTCTGGGGCTAAGGGAGCGACTCGGGGCATGTCTCGCATTGTTTGAGTGGTTGGGGTCTGGGATGCATCAAATCGACTTCGCGACGGTCTCGCTTTCATGTTTGGGAGTTGCAATTTCCTGTCCTTGAAACCCGAAGCCCTCGCTGGCCCCATAATATGGGAGCAATTCGGGATACTTAATGGGGGTTTTTATAACCAGGATCCGCATACTCTGAGGATCTGTATCAGATCCGTTGAGTTTCAGACTCCAGTATTGCTCGTTCGATTTCCGCCCACCTCTGCTTTTTCGTCCGCAGCGAGGATGACTCGAGCCTCGGTGCCCGGCAGCCCGGCTGTGAGTTCAGCCCGCAGCAACCTAGTCATTGGATTCGGCTCATGGGGCGTCAAGGTTGAGCAGTTGGGCGATTCCAACCTTGAAGACAAGAGCTGTAACCTTCGCTTGAGCATCGGGCTAGCGGGGCTAGTTGAGAGGACTCTGGCTCTGTTCGAACACCCGCCATTTCTTCACCCCATGGTTTCGTTTTCATGGCCTGCGAAGGGCGTTCTGGTGGCAGCGATCTTGCAAGGAAACCTTTTGAGCCCATTCTGATTTCCATGCAGCTGAGAATCAAAAGTCGCATTCGCCGACTCTACAGAGCACCCTTGGGTTCGAAGTTTGGCGCCGCAGGGTTGCACCCCATCCCAAGATCTTGGAACCAACAGCTTGTTGAGACCAAGCTGCAAGGCGTGGAGAGATGGAAAGGGGAGCGAGGGCAGAAGCGGGTGCTGGACATGCTCTCAGATTGCCGCCGGGCTCAGAAATTAGGGAGCCTCCGGTGCAAGGCTCAGGGCTTCAGGACACTTGTAGACCTGTAGAGTCTCCGTAGACCCATAAGAGGTGGAGCGGAAAATGCTTTGCAGGCCTTCCTTGGAAGCGAACGTTGCATCAACACCTTCTTTCTAGAATTCTACCGTTATCTTCTTCTCTCGGCTGTGGCGGCCGACCCAAGGGCCGGCCCCGAAGTCTCAACAAGAAGGGTCGTGCTCACAATGTTGAACATGGCCATGCGGGCTGGAGGTCGAATCTCGTGGCGGGGTTTGCTTGTGGCTGGGCCTTCAGGGCCACAACGCCTCAAACCATGAGCCAAACAAGCACTCAACTCCGACCTGCTGAGCTTCAATCCTAATAAGTCTTGTGCTAGGAGTCCCTCGTCATAGAGCTGAGGCTACATGCAGGGCTTGTGGATGCTTGGACCACCCTCTGCTCCGGCTAACAAGGACTGAAGAGCAGGTCCCATGATCCGTATGCCGGAGTCGTCAGCAAGACAGGAAAGAGAGCGAGACAAGAGGATAGTTCAAAGAGCGAAACGACAGACCCTACTCGGCAACGACCCGCAGATTCTATCCAGTCGTAAAGTTACTACGTACAAAATGCCGATGTGGATGGATGAATGTGGATGTCGGAAAGCTCGAAGAAGCAGATAGTGTGAAACTGGGAGGGCGCACTGGCTTCGCAGGAGATCGTTCCGGCTTTCCGCCACATCTTTGCCACCATCCGGCCGTTGGGTGCAGAGGAGACAAACTAGACACGGAGAGAGAGCTCTACAGTGCCTCTTGAATGCTGCACCAACAAACCCGATCCAACTTTAGTTGTTGTGCCTTTCGGGCTTTCAACCCCCACTCGAATCCTCAACCTGGGTAGAGCCGTGGCCCTAGCAAAGCAAGCCCCCACAGCCGCATAGCCTAACTTGCAATGCGTGCGCCATCGACCCTAACACCTCATTACGCCTCATTCCACCTCTGAACTGCTACCACGCAAACACTAGAATCGCTAGAACACTAAACTCACTAAACACCAAAGCCTGTACAGTCCCTAAACACGGCCCACAGCTCGGAACCCGAGAGTATGACGAAAAACAGCATCGTTTGAAGCCACAGCATGATGCCCCCGGAATGAACCACGAGGATCCCAAGCGGGTTCGCATCCTTCGCACCCTGGCAGAGGCCGAAAGCACGGGGTCCGCAGGCTGTCGCAGGGTCGTGTAGGCCCGAAAGCCCATATCCAGAATACGAGAGCCAGATTCGGAGAGTTGCACAAGGTCACAAGCTATTCTTTTGGACCCTCGGTTCATGCAGATTGCATTCACATGCGGAGGCGTGCCAAGATTGCCAGCAGGTCCAAGCACGTGCCCTGCCTGAAGTTGCAGACATGGATCCCTCGTATTCTCACTCAGCCTAAAGCCGTGCACTTGTGTCGTTGTGGGCTTTGCTGCGGCGCGGCTTGTTGGCAGACGCTTTGGCAGCATGTTTGGGCCTTGGCAAGTCCTACTTCGCCACCATGTTCTCCAGAAACTTGTTTTGACGCCAAGCCATCTCTTCTTCTAGGTCCGGAATTGTCTGAACCTTGTCGTGCCACTGTATGGTGGTACTGCTGCAGTGCATCTGCTACAGTTTGGTTTCTGCTGAGCAAAAGTGATGTCGTACATGCTGCGCAGGTAAATTATGTTTCATGTTATGTTATGTCATTTTTGGTTCTGTGAAATTCACCTCGTTTCCGGCTCCGTGGTGTTCAGGGAAGAGAACGATGATTCGTGTCCGGATTCATCAGAGCCCGCCAAAACAGGTGGCAAGATTTCGAACCAGTGCCTTTTGACAGTGCTGGGCTGAATGAGTTTCCAGACTGGCCCAAACTGCTTGTATACTGAACAGATCTAGCCGCTAGAATCTAGCCTCTAACTACAAATTCGGAATTTCAGTTTTTGAACAGTTCAACGGATGCTGCAACAAGCTGCGAAACTTCTTCCAAACTTCAGTGTTCAGCTGTTATTTTGAACAAGACTCCCTTCGGGGACGGCAGAAACATGACAGAACAGCTTCCAAGACATTTTGGACCGCCCCGAAACACACACGGCCCAACAGCAGCTCGAGTGCCTGATCAAACGGATGAACACGGGAAGTCTGAAAGTCTCTTTCAGCCTTGTCATCAGGGTTCGCAGTTACCGAGTGCATGCTGTATTATTCATTCATGAAAAGATGCCATGCGACTTGAACTTGACATAGCGAACCAACCTTCTTTGGATTTGGAGCCGTGCACTTCACTTTGGCAGTCAAAGATGGTACAGGCAAGAAAGCGAAGTCTCATCTACCTAACCTTGCGTTCTGAGCCGTGAGGAGAGATCTTGCGCATCTTTGGGGACCTGACAGCGCAGAATGAGACCTTCGAGTCCCAGTTGAAGTATTCGCTGCTGAGGCAGCCGCCTAAGCTGCATTGAGGTGGCGCAAAGGCAGTTAGGTGCTTTCGGATGTGGGGGTTTCGGAGTTTTTGGTTCCGAGGTTTTAGGGTTTCACTTCGGGGCTTCGGATTTAAGGCCCTCCAATTGAGCCTCGGAGGTTTGCCACAGACCGCCGCAAAATCTTTCGAGCTTTCAGTCCTTTGCATCAGCCTTCCCAGAGGCCTGGAATGTGGTTGTTGTGGACAGTGTTCAAAGGGCTGGTGCTGCTTGGTTACCTTCCCGCAGATGTCGTATGAGTCACACTTACTGAACCCTAAACCCTAAACCCTAAACCCTGAACCCTACACCCTGTGACTACCCATACAGCACCTGAAACCCCCGAGGCCGAGAGCCCGAACCTCGACCTGAGCACCCAGAGACCGACAATTTACACGACATCTCAGCGTGCGATACCCCAAGGTACAGAAGCAAGGAGGAAGAACCAGATTTCCCGAGCAGCCCTATAGTTAGTTTGGTATAACCCAAGCTTTAAGATCTGGCCTTCATGCGCCTCAGGAAGGAAGGCGCCTTGAATCGCTTCATCAGCATGAAGCACGAGTGCTGCGACAAGGACCACACCGAGGTCGCAGGGTTTTAAGGGTTTAGGGTCAGGGCTGACAGCACCTAGGGGCTACTCAAGTTGATGTCTGGGCTCGGCAGGGTTCGAGTGTGGTGGGAGGGTCCATTTCTTCAGATGCGAAGTGTCAGATTCGAAGGAAGAGGCCGCGGAACTCCTCGCATTGATTCTAGATCGAACATTGCGAGCTTGCAAACATCGTCGGTACAATAGACCTCAAGTCATCACGAAGTGTTTACGCTGGCCGGGTGAAGTGTCACACTGCCTTTCGGAGTGGCGATAGGCATCAGCAGCTGACAGCCCCACCAACCCCAAGCTCTCAATCTCCGAAGTCCCCCGGAATGTTGCCTGCGGTCATTGTTAGGTTCAGCCATGGCAGCAGCGACCACACCTCCTCAGCGGCTACCTAGTGTTCCAGCCGCAGACCAGCTATCCAGTGCAGGCGGAAACTGCAAGTTCAAGGCTTTGATATCACAACGGCCGACAACAGCTTTGAGCAATGAGACTTAGGAGCATAGGCCACGATGCGGAACTTCGTGGTCCAGCTTTGGGCTAAGAATCGATAGCCGTATCTTTCCTTCAGCCTAAACCTTCATTCATGACTTCGATGTTGAAGGAGAAGAGCACATAGAGCTGGACTATGGCCATGTGGTGCAAGACTTGTAGAACAGATCTTTGGAGCGTTTTCTCGATGCCGCCTAGGTTTCTTTGCCGGGAATACGGAGGCATTGTGGATTCTCGATCCTTGTAAACTGTACATCTTAAGCTCAACCTTACAACCCGGAAAGGCCCTCAACTTCAAATCCTATTCTTCACACCCTCTTAAGGGTAGTTGTTTAAATTAGGGTCCCCAATATAGTACTTAAGTGGACCCCCAAGACAAACCCTAGTTTGGAAAACTACCCTTAAGTCTCAAGAGCTTCCTAGGACTGTGTCGGGGACAGCTTCGGACTGGATGGGCTTGCAGCGGCCCAGAGTGATCGCTTCCTGCCCCAGGCCCCGGCCCGAAGTCTAGAGCCAACAGGGTTTGGGGGTTTAGGGTTTAGGGCCTAGGGCCTATAGGGTTTTGGGGGGTTTAGGGGTTTAGGGCAAGTTGAGGGTTTAGGGTAGCTTCTCTTCAGCAAAAAGCCTTCCTGTTGGAACTTCTTTTGGGGTTTAGGAGCGCTGAACTTGTGATGAAATTCCGCTCTTCGTGTAAACTGATCTAGAGTGCTTGGGTTCAGACTTCCAAGTCAAGGTTCAAGGGACGAAGGGCTTTTGGCTTGGCTTCTTGCAAGTCATTGGGCCCGGGCCTAACCTCCAAAGAAGCTTACATCTTGCTAGTATAAAAGTCGCAAACCCGCACTCCGAAACCCTAAAGCTCCGTAAGCTTTCGAAGGCCTGCGGAGGCCTTAAAAAGAAGCCTCCGCGGGTAGGAGAACTTCTGGAGTCCCTTGTGTACTTAGAGCCTGGCATTCGGGAGCCGCTTCCACAACGTGAAGCCTTGGAAGCCTGATTGTCCAGTCCTGAGAAGTCTTTGCGGCATCCTGCCTGGAGCGCTAGAGGTCAAGGTGGAGATCAAGAAGACGTTAAAGAAAGGCGGCCAGAAACGGCTCCTGGCTACGCTGCAGCAGGCCTGAGACAGTCTCTTCCAACTTCTATCACTTTCGAGTCCGAGGTTTGATGCTCAGATGGCTAACCGGCTGTTTTCCCATGATGTGAGCTGCATGTCTTTATTCGGCCGCCTGTGCGGCTTTGCCAAAACTGCCTAAACTCTTGAATCCCCAAGCCAAAACATCACCCCGGTCAACTTGGATAGGATAGGATGCGTCGGGGAAGCTCATGTCATCCATGGAAGGATCTCTGCGTGCGGGAATGGCTGCAGACATTGTTGGCTGACATCAACAACCAGGCCGCGCTCCAGGGACACGGCTTGTTAAGCCACCAATCCATCTTGCTCAATCATTCACGGAGGCTTTCGATCCATGTAGTTGTTTTTCGCAGCTGGGGTGTTGAGTGGAGAGGAGCTCATGTCTGTCGAAGCCGCATCGGAATCCTGAGACTACCGTTACTGGGCAAGCATACCATATCACAACAAGCAGCATCACAGTCCTCGTCGACCCTGAGCCGGAAGCCATACAAGCAATGAAGCACGCCTGTGGAGAAGCCATGGGCTCACATTGACATCCCGGAAGAACTCAGGCTGGAGACAAGGCCTCCTCAACCAAAATCCTCCAGCTCTGACCGGGATCCGGACCCTGGCCTTTCCAAAGGGATCTACCCAAAGCATCTCGTGTCGCACAGCTTAGAGTTGAAATCTCCAGCCGTTCGACAGAAGCTCTGCCCCTCGAAGCCTTTTCGAATCGGAAGCCCTGAACCCTCGAAGTGTTAGTCCCCGCTTAGTGAAGTAAGTGCGATACGACGCAGACCTCGAACTCCGACCGGCTCATCGACCGAAGTTGCATCTTCAGGTGGGTGCAGGCGTGAAAAACAGCATCCGCACAAAAGAGTTAAGAGTATCGCCGTACTGCATCACCATGAGAAGTGGTCAGTAGTAGTATTTAGTCGCTTTTAGTGTTGCTTGTACATGTGTGTTATCGGTTCTCGTTGCGGTCGTTGTTGCTGGTGGTCGTCGTCGGCGTCGTCGTCGTCGTCGTCGTAGCAGTAGCGGTAGCGGTAGGAGTAGGAGTAGGAGTAGGAGTAGGAGTAGGAGTAGGAGTAGGAGTAGGAGTAGGAGTAACTATTTCCAGCATCATCACCGTCTATGTTTCCCTCACCGTCTTCGTGTCCATCATCTTCGCATCTTCACTGCTTTCCGTGCTCGTCTTTATCTTCATCTCCAGCTTCAGCTCATCAGCTCATCCTTCGTTTCGCCACTGTCTGCATTGCCATCTCCACGCGTCTTCTGCTTGGTGCTGGTCATGTTTGTTGGGCATTGTTTCCAGATTTCGGGTCGGCTTCATGTGTCAGGCCAACATGACCTCCCACGATGCACACCTCGTTTTCTACGACGAGGAGCGTGCGGAGGAGTTCCGAGGCAGGGAAGCTGTAGGACAGGGAAAGGCAGCAAGAATTGCCTTCTGCTAACGCCTCCTTTCAGATTCCATCCGTCGGTCATTAGATGAACCGACTCAGAGCATTCGGATTCTGAAGACTTCAAGGCCTCGCGCAACAGGTGGAAGCCCAGGCAGGTGAAAAGCCAGGGGAAGTATGATTCATGCTCCATTGGGAGCATCTTAGCGTTCGACGCATGACCTCTGTCTCATAGGCCGAGCGGAAAAGTGGTAGCTCCAGCTCCAAATCTATAGGGGCTGAAACAACGGCCCTCATCTCGTATCCAACCGGACTTGAGGACACGAAGTCTCCGCCTGCACTGCGGAAAGCTTTGAAAGGTCTTTAATCTCCTCGTTGCAGCGAACCATCAGACTGACACTTGTTATGCAAAGGATTACTCAAGCCTTTAGGAAGCCCGAGGAGCTACGAATACTGCTGATAAGGAGCTCCGTCATCCTCCGATAGACTCGACAACTCACATCAACTTGTCAACCGCGAAGGGCAGGATCCCGAGCAGCCCAGCGTGGAGAACCAGTACCAGCCCTTTCTCAGCTGCCGCTCATCTATGGGTTTAGGGTTCTAAGGGTTTAAGGGTTTTAGGGAGGTGGCAATGGATCTATACTTATAAGCAAGGGCCGTGTAAAGGCGTTTTGTTTTGAAAGGTTTTATTTGCGGAGTTTGGCTTGGAGTAATGGGTTGTTCGCGTTTCGGATCGAGGCCTTTGGGGCTTCGTTGAGTCGAGGATTCTTTGCCCGACTTATCCTCGACGGCCTCTGATGATGCTGTCGGGTTAGGCGTGTCCGCAGATAGTCCTAGACTAGAGAAACCATGGTAACATCATGTCACATGAAGCTTCACACGAGATCCAGACTGAGTTGACTTCTGCGGACTTAGAGTGGACTTGGAACAGGCAGGCATTAGGGTCCCAGCCTTGCAGACTTCTTGCCTCAGATTGATCTGGTCGAGGCCTCTGGTGTACGTGCACAGAGTCGTGGCTTGAACATTGCCTGGTCTGTCTGGAGTCTAGAGTTGAGGGATTAAAAAGATGGTAAGCGGTTTAGCTCACTGCACTGCGGATCTGGGTCTCAGGATCTGGACCTAAATGGAAGGTTTGCTCGGGCTCCTGGAACATTCGAGAGCCAAAGCCAACCCCGCTGAGATTCGGAAGCCTGGCCATGTTAACCGAAGCTGCACATTGCACCTCGAATCCCCTCCCTTTGAACCTTTCAAGCCCAAGAGCCCCCAAGCCATGCGAAGTCAGGCAAAGTGCTGGTGGAAATGCTGGTTGCAGCAAGGCTGATCGCACTGAAGAGCCGCAAGGGAGAGCTCTTGGAAAACACACCATCCCTGCTAAACTGTTCAGAAAAGTGCTTCTCGAATGGACCCCGACCAGCAACTCCAAGCAAGCCTACATTACGTGCAGGTTCTTGGCCTACAGATCGCGCGACTCTGCCGATGTGCCAGGGCTCGAACTGGAAGCGAAACCCGTTGAAGCCTTGTCAGATACCTTGAAGTTTAAGATTGTGAGTCTTGTCAGTGAGAGAACCCTGCGCTGAATGGGTTCGGTTTAGGGTTTTAGGGTTTAGGTGTGGTGGGACCCTATGGATTCCCATAAGCCTATTCGCTTGAAGGTTGTCCTGCTCTCCCAAGCACACACGCCCGTGCAGGTATCCGTGTGGGCTCCAAAGTCCTGTTTCAATCCCTAGACCTAGCCATTGCCAAACCGCACGTTGAACCCCTCCAAAAACATGCTCTGGAACCCCAACTCCCTGAACCCTAGAGAAAGCTTCAATGCCAGCCCAAAAGCATCGTGAAGCAACATCCCCTGTGCGGGCTTCGTGAAGTCGTAAAGCTTCTCTCAGGATTACTGCGTTTGCCTTCCGCAGCCCCGGTGTCAGGCAACATCGAGCAGCGGGGCACCCCGTGAGTCGCCGCAGAGTCTGTAGCAAAGCAGTGTCATACACAGTTCTAGCTTCAAGAACGAAAGGTTTCAACGGAAGCAAGTCTCGAGGCGGGGGCGACACCCCGAATTGCCGCAGTGCCTGGCCTTGTGTACAGCTGATACCAAAACGAAGTGGGCATCGGCTGTGCAGGTGGTAGCCAGTCAGTACGAAGTAAAGTGTTGAATCGTATTCAAGCTGCTTTGGCAGATTGCATCGTATTGAGTTGCAGCAGCTTACTGAGATTCATTGTTGAACATGTTCGAGTATCCTAGGGTTGTGTGCTGTATATTGCATCAGGGGCTTTGAACTAGGGATGTATGGCATACGTCGTCTCATACTGCCGTTTAGTACTCAGGACGAGCTGCGGTTAGTTGGAGCGTTCTTAGAGCACCCTTTGTGGTGGGGGAATCTGTACACAAGGCCAGCTGAATCGTAGAGAAGCGTGGCAAGACTAGACAGGACTCTTTGCAAAGCCTCCACGTTAATCTCTGCCGAGTGTTGGGAAAACGTCCGGTGCAATCCTTAGCCTTGTTCTGAACCGTGGTCCTGAGCGCCTGAACCAGGCGTCAGGGTCGCGCCTCTTCTCGTGTCAGAGGGCCCTCACACAGACGATCGGTTCGTGTTGAGTCAAGTCCTCTCGCCGCAAACGACATTTCCTGCGCCCAGGGTATGGATTGAAAGCTGTCCCTACCAGCCGGTTCCCTCTACGTTTCCGTATGTCGCAGACATGTCCGAGCACACTGCATGTGACATGGTGTCGTGTAGGTCTACTGTTTGTCGGCACTGCAGCCTTGTGCATCCTGCCGCAGCCAAAAAGCACTGGGCCACAGCTCGTGAGCCATAAACGCCCTGCTTGCCTAATAATGATTGTATGTATGGTGTGGCCGTTGGGCAAGTCTGCTACCACATAGGTACGTGAGCTTTCAGGGCACGTTCTCATTGCTGATCGTAAGTCACGAACCCAAAGCGGCTCCTGCAGGCACCCGCTTGGGAGCAAGCCAGCTGTTGCCATTCTTCGAGGCCCCCCAGACAATTCCCGCTTCCAAAGCCATCTCCGATGGTGCAGCAGCTTTCGCAACTGCAGAGCACCGAATCTGGAGCCCGAAGCAAACTCCACAACCTGAGCTTCATGCCCTAAATCCGCCGGCCCTCCGCTTCCGTGTTAGGCTGGCTCCCCCTGTGCCGTGTGGCCGCGCCTCTCCTCCAAACAGTTCGGGAGCTCGGTCCGGGGTTGGTGGGCTGGGGGGGTTTAACTTTAGTGCTTGTTCACGGTTAGGTTTTAACAAATACTTGCCGATTAGTTTGGGATTTAGGTTCATGTTGTTGGGTTACAGGGGAGGTTTTTCTGAGAGGGCGGTTTTCGGATTTTGTGCTTGTCAATCAACAGGTTCAACTGTCAAGCTCAGCATGGTGGTCGCAAACCTTGGTGGCGCTGCTGTTTTGACTTGGCGCTGCACCGCAGATTGCTTGGGCGAACGTCGCAGTCTGTAGTCGAGTGGCATCAAGACCTCCGCAAAACTTGGTTCCGATGGCCTTTGCACCAGCATCTGGGGCTGGTTCCCCGCAGAAGTTGCAGAATTCAGTTTCTCGTCGTCAGTGCTTGCTCGGGGTATAGTGCTGGTGCCAGCATTCTCCCATCATGCTGGCAGTACTCGCAGATGCGATACACAGTATACAGCGGCCCTTGCTTAAAACGGCCCTGCAGCCGGCTTCCGTCGAAAGACCGCGTCAGACTCTTCAGAGTCGACGAACCACCTGTCCAAGGAAGCTGAGTCTTCAGCTGCAGTTGGATGATTGGAGCTCATGGTTGCCATGCTCGGTTTCAGGCAGGAAGTTGCACAGGCGAAGGCATGGCGAGAGTCGACTCAGCGCTTGATCTAGCAATGTTTGTCTTGTTGGATTCCGATGCAAGCTCTAGTTTCGGTATCTCGAAACCATGGAGGCTGGCCCATCGTGTAAGCCGTTGAAGCCCAGAACTGAAGCACGATAATTACACTGGATGGAATCGCCTTTCACAGCCCTAGGCCGGCGCCGATCCGTCGAGCTGCGGTGCCTCGCCGGTGCTTTTGAACGTCAGTGCTCCCTTGGAACCAGGCTAGAGAGTAACGCCGAATTCAGAAGCATTTCACAGCTCAGAAACTTCGATCAGATTCTTGCCGGTATACTGCTCCGATTGAGACAGCCTACCCGAATTCAGGAGCTATTCCGTCACATGCCGACAGTAGACGGATTCCAGGCTAAGGGCAACGCCCACAAGGAGGAGGGTTTGGAGTTGCTCTTGGCGGGCCCGTGTGTGTTTTGTGTCGGACCTGAGTCATGCAGACTGCAGTTGCGGGAAAGCCCATCGAACATCCGGACGATTCAGGGTTCCTTTTCCGTGATCCCCTTCTTGGGTTGCCAAGCTGGCGATCGAATCCAGTTGGATACTTTCCGACCGCACGCCTTTGCATAGTCATGGTCATGATATGCAAATGGCGATGTTCGAGAAAACTATGTGTTCACAGGTGTCAGTCAAAAACGGGCCTAGCTGCACACACGGTGAGTAGGGCACAGCCTCGAAAATAGAGCACGGCAACAACTTGGCACGTGAGCTGGCAGATTCTGCAGCAGGTTTGGGCACTCCCGTGCATCAGCAACTTTGTTGGTTCAGCAGGGTTGCCGTGCTTGCGCAGCTTCTGTTTGGAGTTTTTTCCGTATTGTTGGTGAAAGAATCTGGGCTGGATCTAAAATCTAAAAGCTTGTTCTGCTGCCTGGAAGCACCGTCATCGGGCCAGAATCTCTAACATGATCGCCTTCTAGGATCCCATGACAGGTCCAATGCCTGATGCGCATTTGCCGGGCAGTAGGCAGCTCCGATGAGAGTGGGCAGGGCACACAGCCAGCGGTTGCTTTTCAACGAGGGAGTTGCCGCTTTTCGGGCTCTGGATTGTGGGCAGTGTTTGGCTTCTAGGTAATAGCTCTGCTGTGGCATTTCCAAGCCAATTGATATGCTCCAAGGCGCATAAGTTCAGCTGCGGATGGAAAGAGCCGCATTCCCGCCGCACCCTACAGTCCCCTGACAAGACACCCGAACTTAGATTCTTAGATCATGCCCTTGTGCCTTGCGCTGCGCAGAGGTTGCAGGTGGCAAGTGCTACGCACCGCGCCGCGGCCCTGAACGCCCGGCGCTTGTGGAGCTGTGGAAGGGCAGACGGTGCTGGGAGCCGTACAGGAGCTTGGGCTTCAGCCTAAACTGGTACTTGTCTTTCTTCCGGGTGGCGAAGTTTTTGGAACCTTAAAGCTTCTTGCCGTCCGCAGCCCTGGGTCCATAGGTCACACCAGTCTGTACATGCAGGCTTTTTCTAGACAAACCTAGTTCAAGCCGAAGGGGAGTTTTGGGAAGTGGATTTCCAGCGTCGGCGAAGGAAGCACCCTCGGCCCTACCTTAAGAACCCCAAACCCACTTTTTTGTAGGTTCTTATTATAAACCCCAATATGGGATTTATAGGGACCCTACAAAATGGTAGGTTTTGGGTTCTCAAACCCCAAATCCTACAAACCTAACCCACGGCGAGGTCATGGCCGATGAGGCAGTCCCGGCAGCAACGGCTGCAGTCGAACACTCAGCTGCCGCGCAGGATTCGGGCCTACTGCGGATTTAGGGGTTGAGGTTTAGGGATGTGGGTCGTTTTAGGGGTTTTGAGGGTTCAGGTTTCAGGCTTATAGGATTTATGTCAGGCTTCGAGGTTGCGAAGAATAATGCGAAACTGGACATGCTTGCAGTGTTTGCAGAAGCGGCAGCGTTGTACGAGCAGCGTGTGACTCCGCAAGGATCGCGAGCATGATGCCGATGGTGACCAAGGCCTTTGTCAGGGATTTCGCGATGGCCGGCCAGGGAAGCAGTTGCTGGGAAGGCAGCTTCCATGCAAAGCTAGGGTGTGCCGGCTGTCTTGTTCGAATGCGGAGTTGGACGCCCTTGCATGTGAAGCATGTCCTGTCGGTTGTTTAGCAGAGGCGCCTGAAGTCCCAAAGCCGAATCCGGAACACCGGACCCCACCTGCTTCGAAAGCCTCGGAAGCCAGTGGTCGTTCAGGTCAAGGGCTTTTGAGCCAGAGTCAGCACGCACGACTCTTTTCTTTCAGGATGGGGCAAGGTCAAACCTCAACAATCGAGCCGGGGGGGTTTGAGGCCCCAAGAATCCCCTAAACCCTAAACCCTATACCCTAAACCCTAAACCGTGAAGAGAAGGGAGAGCCAAGGAATGGTTGCCTCGAAGTCCCTGTGGCCACCTTTGACGGCCCTGCTCCACCGGGGCGCCGCTTCCGCTGGTCGGCAAGAGACGGCTGGGCGCCCAGGGAGGGCTCAGGGAATGGCCTTTAGGTAGCTTAGGGTGTAGGGTTGAGCTTTCGTGTTGGGTGCAGTTCGGACCTTTCGCTATCGCAGAGAGCATGGGTCGTCACTGAGTAGGAAGGCCACCCAAAGCCACCCACAGGTATTGTCAGGTTAACTCACAGACTTGATAGACATGCTTGGAGTCGTGCTGCGTGAGATTTGCATAGGGCCGCCCAAAAACCCAAGCCACCTTCGGCATCAATTCCCTGTTCGCCATGCCTTGAAGTGATCCCGAATGTCCGAGGCTGCCGACTTCCTTCAGCACTTCTGCGAGCTTCTACAGGCAGGCTCAGGGCAGAGGGATTGGCATGCCTTTGGTTTGTAGACTTTCGGTGCTTCTTTTCGGCTTGGGAGTCGTTGGGGATTCAGGGTTGGTTTTGTTGATTTCAGCGGTTTGGGGATAGTGGTGCCGTGGTGCGGGCGTGTGTTTTTGCAGTTTGAGATCCTGTGAAAGTGATCGGCAAGGGCCTCCGAACGCACATTCTTACTAGCCGCCCCAACAGCCCGAAAGCTTTGCCCTCATGGGCCATCGGATTCTGGGCTCAACGTCTTCAGTCAGGTCCGGAGCAGCTTTGAAAGCCTGGAGCTAGACACCACGCCAGGGGTGCGGATGAGAGAGAGAGTTTCGGCGAAGAGCCTTGCAAAAGAGGACTTGTAAGCCGAGCTGCTGTGGTGCGGGGTGCGGGGTGCTGCGGCTCGGAAATGCTCTTGCAGCCTTGAGGTCTACATCAGAAACCCTCAACCTGAATCCGACGTCTTGCATGCCCCGAGCGGCTAGCGGCAGGTCTTTCCAGAGAGTGCCTGGGCACCGGGAAAGGCGGAGCTGCTACTGGCAGAGATTCTGCAGGCAGGAACTCAGGTCTGTGTGGCTCAGTGTTTTCTTACCAGGCAGAGTCTTGGTTGAGCCCCTAAAGTCCCTCCCCTTCCAAAAAAAGAAGCAATGCAGCAAAGGGGTGGATTCAACGTAAACTCACTTGGTCATTGGAACCCGGGCACGAGATACCTGAGCAGAGAAGAGCGCGCCGAACTTGAAACTCCTTGTCTTCTGAAGCCAACAGGCTCGGTGATGAAACCCGTAGAAACGCCTAGTTCTCAGCTGGCAAGCATCTTCGTTTTCTGTCATCGTGGAGAGTGAGGGCCTGTTGCGGATATCAAGTCTAGTCTATGATCTTGGTATAGGGTGTGTTTTGGATGTACGAAGGGAAGCCCCCCCTGCTCATACTAACGCACTATGGCATGTCAGTCCCTGGCGCACCCTCGCGGTGCCTTCGCAGCTGCCGGGGCGAATGCGTGGCAGGTCGGCTGTGGGAACGCTCGGGTGGAATAGATCGTTAATTCCACAGCCGACATGAAAGCCAACGTCGGCCAACAGCCTTTAGGAGTTCAAGTATCCGCACATCGAGATCTTGTTGATAGTTTTTCGACCGTTGCTTGAGGTTGTCTTATGTGAGAAGCTGTGTTTCGCATCTTTGTGTGTTTTGGGGCTGGCGTGCGTAATCGGTACCACTGTCGTGTTACATGTAGTGCTGCAAGAAGGTTTCATTGAGCTGCACTTTTCCAGACAGGGTCTATCCTTTCGTTACGATCCTGCCATGACTTCGCACAGCCTCAGAAAGAAAACCTTCACCTGTCCCAAACCCGAAGCCCCGCAGAAGCCGAACCCAAGAACCCACAAAGCATGCGACTACCTGAGGGATTGAGCCCCTCACCGCGGCAAGCACCCTATTCAAGTCTCTGAGCCTCAGGAAGCCTTTTCCGTTCATGGTACAAGGTCGCCATATACGCTTCGGCCAACCTCTGCAAATGCCACGGGCAAGGTCTTAAGTAGCTCGTGGGATATACATGCAGAGCAAACGCGTTCCCACCGGGGGTTACGACTCCTGCCGTGCCACGAGTGCGGCCCTCATGCCATCCCGCCCCCAATGACAGCGGCAATCAGCTGCTAATTACTATAGTAACTACTATAGTAACTACTATAGTAACTACTATAGTAGCTACTATAGTAACTACTATAGTAACTACTATAGTAACTACTATAGTAGCTACTATAGTAGCTACTAGTAGTCTCATTCGAAACCGATGGGAGCCGGTCCCGAAGCCCTCGCTCCCTACATGTCGAATCCGGTGACCCTGGAATGCTACCGTAGTGGAATGCGAGCGTAGGCCCGGAAACCGAAGCCCTAGCCCTGCAGCTTGGAGCCGGCCTTGACCACAGCACCGTCGCAGGCATACTTCTCCATTTGCTCGACTGCCGGCGTCCACGCATTGCACTGAGGAAGAAGGAGTTCGGGGGCTAGGATCTGCGACGGATTTTTCGCCTTCGGCATGTGCATTCATTCGCTTGGAAATTGACAGTTTGATCCCCAGCTGTGTAAGACAAAGTGGAATCGGCAGCAGAGGGACTAACCTGCAGCTGCCCAGGTGGCGCCGGACTGGCGTTGGCACCCCGTAGTGCTGTACCTGGGCGGCAGGCATCAATCCAGCAGGGGTCATGCTGCTGGTTTTAAAATACTCTTTTCCCTAAGCCCTAAACCCTAAACCCTAAAACCCTAAACCCTAAACCCTAAACCCTAAAACCCTAAACCCTAGGCCCTAAACCCTAAAACCCTAAACCCTAAACCCTAAACCCTAAAGCGCGCATTTTTGGAACTCGAACTAGGAGGCCCCATCCCCCGACAGCCCGACAGCCTGGGTCCGGGTCGTGCAGCCTTGCCCCCCCTTCCTCTCAGAACGAAAGTAATCCTATTCCTCTGATCTGTGGAAACCTGGAGCTCGAGGACCCTTGGCATTCAGACTCATGACAGGGACATCGACAGTTGAGACACTGCAGCTGTACATGTTGTCTCTCTCGCACGGCTCTCCAGCAGGCTCTCGGAGAGGCACCTGTCCGTCAGTTTAGGTGCAGCTGGCATCCTGTAGCACCTGTCAGTTACGATTTGCGTCAAGGGACTACGACAGGCGGAGCTCAAAGCAGCATGTGCCTTCGTGCTGGGTTTCAGATTCTCAACCCGCTCCGGCACTTCGTCTCCATGGCATTGCACGTCGTCGGCCGTGCTGTCGGCGGAGCTTCTCAAGGCACTCTGGCAAGCTAGGTGTCTCAAAGCTGGTCGTAGCAGCACTAAACAAGTCATCGTTTCGGGCGGTCGGGACCACGTTGGTGTTTGCACACTAATCCTAAAGTTCTAAAGCTCTACGGACCTACTACCCCACCGTGTAAAGCGCTGGAAATGCTAGACCGTGCTTGTAATAAGGGGAGCTCGAGCGCAGGTCCACAATCAAGAACTGGCAGCTCCCTTTGGGGGTTTCCAAAAATAGGGGACCCTAATATAGCACCCTAAATAGTAGGATCCTTATAAACCCCAAAATAAGGTACCCCTAATTTTCGGAACCTCCCATATACCACAACAGCTCCACAAAGCAGGTGCCTCACAGGGGACTGTGGCCGCCGTTGTGGCCGCAACGCTATCTGCTGTGGCCGAACCTTTGCAATCCGAGACTTGGCTTTGTCACCTTTTGGGCTCGAAGGGGCGTCGGAGAAGTAAAAGGCTTAGGGAGTCTCAGGCTCAAGGCTCACCATGCCGTACATACCAGACGGACATTATCAGCTTTCCGCCACATCTGGGTTTTGGCTTTTGAACTAGTGCTGTCATATACTCGAAGATATCGGAACGGCGTCGTACGTTGAAGCGATCTCATCGCATCCACCTAGGACCTAGGAAGGCACTATTGTCTGGCTCTCTTTTCCTCCAGGATCTCGCAGGAAGCTTTGGGGTCTGGAGCTGGGGAGGTTGTAGACGAGCCGTAAGAAGCCTCGGCCTTGAAGCAGCGGGATTTTGTCAAGGCTCTTTTTTGGGGTGATCTTGCAAGTATTTAGATTATTTACGATCCGGGATGTTGCAGTGCTGCAGGAGGGGCCTGCACCCAAGGGCCTGTCTGAGAAGACCGCGGCACGCACAGCGCCCCTGAATTTGGGCACAAGCTCAAATTGTCAACCTTGAAAGCCACAACTCATGTCCGTCGGTGTTCGGACGACTTGCAGCCCAAGTCGTTCATCTAGTCACTAGTCTCTGATCTGGTGCCTATTGTGGGTGCTCCGTTCAAAACTCAGTGCTCGGGGATTCATGCTGCGGCAGAGTGATTTCATCTCTCCGCCGCTGACATGGTTGTGCTTTGCTGTCTCCGAGGAAGATGATGTGAAGTCCACATTGTCCGAGCATCTCGTAAAGCTGCCGCTGTTCGAGGCGAATCGTTCGGTGGTTTTTGCTTGCTTTCTGCTTTTGGGCACTTGCAAGTCAATGCCAGTCTTGGATCCTAGGACTGCAAACGGGGGGGAGGGGGGGTGGTTATGCTCATAGTTGTCGCCTCTTCCAGAATCCCAATCCCTAACCGGCCCTAACCAGACCGGCTCAAACAGCCCGTCTGTCCCAACAGTAGAATCTGGTGCCCCGCCAAGCTCGTGAGCCTGCGGCCAACACAAGCAAACACTGCAGGAAACAGGAACAACACACCTCCTGCATCCGCAAAGACAAGCTCTCGCCGCAGGGACCTGGCTTCTCTCGGGTTACTTTTAGCAAGCGCATTGGTATATATTTCGTTTCCATCGAGAGAACAGCTCAAGAAGACTTCAGTACGAATTCGATTTGCAGGAGCCGAATGGGATTCCGCTTATGGCACTGATGACCGGGAATTTCTGCGAACGAACGTGACAGGTGACAGGCACTCTAACACAAGCTGTGCACAAGAGGTCTGAGCCGGCTTCTTCTCGACATGACACACAGAGCGAGGCAAGACCTTGCAAGCTGCATCAGCAGCCAGAAAACCAGTGATTCACCGGATGCCGTTGAAACGGCAGCTTCTGGGAATCGTCAGGCCTTGAACACCGCCTGGGTGAACTTGCTGCTGGGCGTTTCTATGGTTGGGCTGGGGTCTTTCTTTTTATGGTCGGTATGGGGCACTTCTTGGCCAGGGGCATGGTTCTTCAACCATTCACCGAAGACTCACATCTCAGTGTGATCTGCAAGAAACCCCGCGGGTTCAAGGTTGGGTCACAGTGTCAGTCTGAGAGATTTAAGGCCTCTAGTAACCCTAGTACGTAGTAAACCACAGAAAACCCTGAACCCCCAAAAGGAGATGACTCCCAAGCCTTCAACCCGATGGATCGGAACCCAGGGCCGAAAATCCCCGACACGCCCACACCTTCACGCTTCATTCCGATAAATAGTTTCCGTACAGTAGCAACTAGGCTCAACTAGACCAGGAGTGTTGGGTATGTTTATGGTATATACTTCTAGATTCACGACAGAAGGAGATGATTGCCTAGTTGTTCCGGCACCCAACACCCTACACTTTAGAACATCGCAGCCGGTCGGATCTGATCCGCTAAAGCCTCAAAGCCTTTGCGACATCCTTATGGACGCCGTATCCGTAAAACCCTAAAGCCCCAAAGACCCAAGCCCCCAGCCCGAGAGCCTCAACCAAAAATCCTAAACTAATCCTCACGCGCAAGCCCCAGACTCTAAACTTTGAGCTGCCAAAACTGTATAGCTGTATATTGGAGCCCAAGCCCCGACGGTCTGGCCTCTTGAATCGTCTGACAAGCCCGAGGCTTCCTCGCTCGCTGCGCGGGGCGGCAGCCGGAGCTCTGGCGTCGGCGCTCGCCGCGCACAGCGCCGAGGTGGGACTGATCGAGGATAGGCAGAGGACTGTTGCAGGATAGCCGCAGGTCATGATTTGTGCTGGGTTAATGATGGATTATCGGGGTGACCTCCAGCAGACCCGGAAAGCGAAACAGCAGACACAGACACCGAGAATTAGTGACTTCAGAGAGAAGGGAGAGAATGAAGAACAGCATAGGTTGCTACAGTGGGTCATGGCGAAACACCCAGTAGAGCTTGATTAGTGCAGGGTTAGCCTGGGACAAAATTATGGGGAAACACCAAGGAGTGCTGGATAAGGGTTAGAAGGATGAGCCGAGGATTGAGCGGGGCTTAGCCTCGAATTAGTTGGATTAGCCTAGGATTGCCAAGAAGGGTTGGATGAGTGCTGGATTAGCCTCGGAATAATCTAGGATAGGCCTAGGGTTACGGTGAAACACCAAGAAGGGCTGGATTCGTGCAGGATTAGCTTCGGATTCGTCTAGAATTAGCCTAGGATGAGGGCAGGGCTAGCCTCGAACTACCCGGGAAGGGCTGGATTAGTCCGGGATGTTCGCAAAGGATTAGCCTCGGGTTAGCCTAGGCTTAGCGGAGTACGACGAAACAGAAGGCGAGGCGAGTCCTGGTTTCGGTAGGATTAGGCCGGTCTACACAGGGTTTAGGGTTTAGGGTTTAGGGGCTTAGGGTTTACGGTTTAGGGTTTATTAAACTTCGTTAAACCCTAAACAGCACAATTCAGACGCATGGGTGCGGCACAACAGTGCGGAAAAATCCAAGCCAGGACATGTCACAGTTCGGGATTACATCAGGGTAAACAATGGATCCTGGATAAGCATAGGGTCAACATCATGCTTCAATGAAGTAGTGTGGCATTGAGCTAGGACGAAGCAACCCGCTAGCAGCGACACTAGTGAGAATAGCAATGTTCCCTTTACGTGTTTGGACTTTCGGGGTTTGGTGCCTCAGGTCCAGGGTGTAGGGTTGAGCATAGAGGGCTGAGCCCCCCGGTTCACATGCTAAACTCCTCTGTTGTCTGAACTCTCCCCTGCCTGAGGCTTCGCTAGTGCGCATGGACAGGGCTTTGCTGCCTGACGAAACGGACTACATAATCTCTGTAGGACCCAGCGGGTGTTATGTCATGTTGATTTGCCGCTTGAAAACTGCTTGAATTTGCAGGGCTTCCTACACTGTGTGCAACCACTCCGCCACAGTGCCATACATCTCCCCTGATTCTCTCCGAACCCCCGGCCAGATGTCGCTTCTTACAGTGCTTTCAAGCAACGGCAATGAAGGAGAAAGGCACAAACCGTGCACGTTTCCGTCAGAGCGACATTTGTACATCTTAAGCCAGGCAACGCTGCTGACAGTAGCATCATCATGGACACGCGACCCTACAGCCTCACCCAAAGCCCAAAGCTTTGCATCCTCCCTCAAGGAGAATTCGTGGAATTCGCAGTCCGTTATTTCATGACATATCGTGACCGACCATTTTCGGATATTTTCGGGCGTATAGCCACACAGTTGTAACAGTCGTCGTGACGACTACAGAAAAAGCGATATTAGCAAGCAACAACGCAGGCACTGAGTAATGACAAAACGTGGAATGAAGGCATCTTCTACAGCATCGTCGTCGTCATGCAATTAGCATCCTCCTCCTCGTCCCCCTCCCCCTCTTCGTCCTCATCCTCCGCTCCTCAGCAGCAGCAGCATCATCAGCATTCATCAATACCACATCCATCGTCAGTCAGCGCAGTCGCCTTGTCGTTATCGCCACCAGCACTGCCAGCGTCATTATCATTGCAGGCAGTGTCAGACATAACATAGCAATCAAAAAGCATTCAAACCAGAAAGTAACACCAACAGTACTGACTGGTGATTGTAGTTTCCAGATGCAGAGTCTGAGTACGACACAAAACTCCCCTACTACACAACGCAATTTCAAGGACCGGCAATATCGCCCCTGGTCTCCTTCTTGTTGGCATTTCTTTCCCTGCCGAGGCTTTTCCAGGATGCCCTCTACGGGGCGGCTCGAAACCAAGTGCACGCGATGGTCGTGGCCCTGAACCCGCTTCGGGCAAGGTGGGGGCCCAGGATGGAGAGTGGAGCTTCCTTGATGTGAGTGCTACGGTGTCGTGCCAAGATCTGAAGGGCTATCGGCTATCATGTGAAGTGGTAACTAAATCCATGCGAGACACCATATCAAACCTTGTATGACTGGAGGTCGGACTCAGAGCTTGAGTGTAGTTTTCGGTTTTCGGGACTTCGGCCCTCAGGTCTCTGGGTTCATGTTGGGCTGGAAGCAGCCTGGGATTGGGGGTGCCGGTTGGAAGCGAAGATGTTGGGCTAGGGGATGGTTGTGCAGGAGCATCGGGAAGGATCGGGGGTTGCTTTGGACATGCTATGAAGCATCCCAGCTCTGAAGACAACGCGCGAGCCCTTCCGCCAGACGAACTCCAGCCTCCATGGCACTGGAGGTCGTCGCTGGGCCGCTTCATCAACATTTTCCGTGCAAGGGAAGGAGGCCCCAAGGGCCGGTTCTGAGGAGGTCTTAAGCTGCAAGGCCCAAGTCGAAAGCAGTAGTAAGGCAGTTTCAATCCCCAAATTAACAGCTGTTTCCTCGCCATAATCTACAGATCTGTCAACTGCTACAGATCTTACCCAGCTGAATCTTAGGACCTAGACCCTTCAAGACTCTTGCCCCACTCTCCCAAAGCTTCCCTATGACCTCCCGAAACTCTTGCAGAACCCGAGGCCTTGACGGCTTGAACAAAGTCTGAAACGGAGCCTTGAGCGAGCAGCCCTTGACCCTATAGCTTAGGGTTTAGGGTTTAGGGTTCAGGGTTTAGGGTTTAGGGTTAGAGCCTAGAGGCTCTAAAGATGCCTAAACCCTGAACCCTGAAAGCCAGGTTCTGGATGGCTGCCTGGCCTCTCGCGGGCCCAAGAAGCAGCCTTGCCTCGAGCTTCTCCAACCCGCCAGGCATGCCCAAGCCGAAGCCCTGAAGCCCTAAACCTCCCTAGCTTCTTTCAGCCCACTACTCGTACTCCTGCAGATCCCAAGACATAAGAACGCTCATAAATCTCTCAACCTTTGGGCTGCTTCCAGGTGGTTTCGCGACGGCGCCCTGCATGCGCTACTCGTCGGCCTGAGCTTGGCCTTTGGAAGCTTGGCGACGCTGCAGGCCGGGAGGGTATCGGAGAGTCCGGTGACGAAGGGTTACAGGGTTCAGGGGTGGTTTAGAAAGCTTGTTGTGGTTTTCTTGTTCAGGGTGTGGTGGTTTCACGTGGTTTCAGAGCAAAGGGTGGTTTCGGGCGTGGGCTTCTGGTTGAGCTCCCTCTCTTTGAACTGGACATGTTTTTCGGTGCGGCGGCTCCGAGTCGAGTCCTTCAGCGCGCGACCCTGAATCTGGGCCAAGGGTTCAGGAAGTTCTCGGGTCTTTGTTATCGAGACTCTGGTCTTCGACATCTGCAGAGAGGTCCCAGCAGCCGCAAGGCCAAGAAGGGGCAAGAAACTGGAGCGCCGGAAACTGTGAACCAAACTGTATCCATTTCTTCAAAGCATTGCACATCAAGACAGACTGTCGCTTGCAGAATAAACAAGCCCAAGGCCAGAGAAACTATTGAAGAGACGCATTGAACTCTGTAGCCCCTTCCAGGTGGGGAAGTTGGGCTCCTTTCTTTTCCGGCTGATCCTGCGGCGCCCGAGAGGGCTGCTCCTTGGATGGGGACAGATCTGGCGGTCCAGGGACCGGGAGTGGGTTGGAAAGGCTCAGTTGCATGTGGATGCTACAAGACATGACAAGCACATCACACATGTGCGTATGTAGGGGACGTGTCTTCCTTGTATGCAATGTGGATAGGGTTCAACGGGTAGGTCTGAGCTACAGAGCAACAGCAGCAGCAGCAGCAGCAGCAGCAGCAGCAGCAGCAGCAGCAGCAGCAGCAGCAGCAGCAGCAGCAGCAGCAGCAGCAGCAGCAGCAGCAGCAGCAGTTGCCCGAAGGGATGCACTTTGCACTCTGGCACGAACCCTCCGCCTCAAGGCTTCTCTACAGCCTCAACCCGGCACAAGACGTGCCCAAGCCGCGTGAAAAGTTTGTGCATGCAGTGGATTGTCACCGAACGCGTCTTTCTATCCCTTTCGTGGAAGAATCACTTCACAACTCGAAGCTCCAACTCCAAAAGCTTTGGAATCGCAGCGCCTTTTCGAGGCTCCTCGGGGGGATGATGCTGGCGCTTTGCCAGCTGCGCCTGCGCCGCGGCGCCGCGTCGGGGGACAAAAGCTCCCCGGGGTCCCAGAGCCTTCCGGCGCTGCTTCTGAACAAGGCAGCAGTCGAGTTGTGTCTGCTGTGGTTAAGTTGGCGAATCTAAGCTGTAGAGCTCACGTCTGGAAGTTTATTTTTCCATGGCGTCGGCTGGTTTTACGCTTCATGCCTCAGGCGAATCCTTGGACCCTCAACGATGGGGCTGGTGAGGGGCTGGGTGCACAATCATTCTGAAGGGTAAGGGGCATTAATCATGATGATGATTGATTGTCACGGAGCGATGAATAGAAACGAACTGGACCAGAGCTGCTATGTCATGGTTGTGGTTGTTGTTGTTGT